TGTATTCTTTATATTTAATAAATGACTCTTTGACTATAAACTGTTTAGATATTCCCCCTCTAGGGTAATTCCTACAGCAAGGTTTATCTCTCTCCTGTGTTAATAAGTTATTATTGTTATTGTATTTCCCCATGAACTGCCTTAGAGAAGGGTATAGTCTCTTAAAGAGAAAAGAACTATACTTACCTCTTGGACACCGCATATACCTACGAAAGGATTCCCTGTGCCGTGCCGTCGTTATAGAGTAAATTAAGAAGGCTTTACTCTGTAACACTATAATTATACAAAACCAATTTTAAAGTTTTTTGAATTTTTATTAACAAAAAATTCAAAAAAAAACGTATATTTTTTTTGTTTAAATTTTTGGTTATCAAAATCAATTTATAATACTTATCTTTTATCTAAATTATATATAGTAAATCAAAAAGTTTTCTAATATAATAGTTAAAATGTTTGATTTTTAAACTAATTTCTTTTGATTATTATGCCAATGATTTTAATAAAAATTACTAAAAAAAAAACATTAATACGCGAATTGAATCAACTTTTTAAGTGCATCTTTGATAATAATTTACTAGTAAAGGCATGCCAATTATCAATTTTTATGCGCAATATCTAACTAATCGCATTATTATTGCATCCTTATATCATTTTAACTAATCAGTATTTGAAATACTTCAATGTCTCAAGAAACAAGTAGTAATCATTTATTGAAATATTTATAACCATTTTATTAGAATATAACAAAAAAAGGAAAAAATCTATCCTAATATATAGAAAAGAATCAGATTAATTACAAATTAATAATATTAAACTTCTTTTTTATCTTTATCAAGAAACTTGCTTTCAACGTTCCAATAGTAAATCATCTGGCCCGATAGAATACAATTACACAAAGAAGCTAAAAGAAACCCAACCAAAATTATATTATCATCAATTTCTGTAAGCGTGGTAAAGATTCTAGCCAACGAACCCAATGTGAATCCAAAAGTCGCAATTGCCGACAATTGACCTGTACCCTCATTTTTATAATTCGTAATTATCTGTGGAAATTTCGAAAATAACGATAATGGAATACACAGAGTCTGAAGAAATGCTAAATTTGAATCACTAATAAGCTCTGTAGATCCAAGTGAATACGTGATTATAATCATGGAAATAAAGGTGATGATGAGATCTCTATTACGATTCGCGTAGTATAGCATTAAGAGTAATATAATGATATTTTGAATGGTCAAGAAGAAAGCTTCACCAAATGTACTAAATGGATTGCCATTGCGGAGATTGTATGCCAATCCTATACCAAACGCACATGTTTCCAAAACCATACTCTCGAAACTTAATCCACGTGAAGATCTGGCAGTCATGATTTTAATTATTTGTGGAAGTTTTACGATCGAACCGGCTAAGATGATTCCTATACCGAGACCCTTGGACAAAAGAAGTTTGAGGCATGCAGTGTCACTGATGTTAAGGTTCTCTGCTAATGATGTATAACATGTTTCACCTATCAAATTGATTGCTGGGTACTTAATTATATCCGGCAACTGGACCATCGTGGATAATACTTATAATACCTAATGATTAAATTCGGTGAATATGTAAAATAAAGATTTGTTAATAACAAATTTTTAATTTGGACTCTATTTATGTAAATTCTTGAATGTGTCACATCTTAAAATGACAAAGATATGAAATTAATGAAGCCATATCGATATATTATCTCTCATATAATTGCTCAACCGTTGAGCAGGAACACATCTAATATCTAATGATGAGAGAATTATCTTGTTGATCATCGAAGTTTCTATTGTAACTGGAAATCCAATGCGTCGGTAGATTTCCTTCCGAATTTTTCAAATAAAAACAAAACTTTTTAGAAAACATACCAAAAATTCGACTTTTCACCAAAACAATTATAAAATACGATAATCAATTTAAAACTAATATGCAATAGACAAGAAATTTTGAAATTCAACTACCTTGCAATTTATAAAGAGA